ACTGCTTTGGAACAGATGAAGGAAAGAACTGTTCAAAGGGAGGGAATATATTATTAGGCATTAGATCTATAACAACAGTCCAGAATAAGAGCTGCATAGCAAAGTGGATGGGAAAGGGCAGAATTATGCAACAACAAGTGAATTTTTAAAAAAAAAAGTAAACTGGGGCAAAATGTACAACAATGAATGAATGAAAGTCTAACTTTTCTGTAAAACTGTCACTACAATCACATAACAACAACAAAAAAGAAACCAAAGGAAATATTGCATCGGGCAAATCTGCTGCCAAGGACCACCTATAAGGTTTTAAAGAATAAAAATACTGAGATAAAGCATAAGAATATCACTTTAAAAAATATTAAATATACCAAAGAACTAACAAATCTGTCTTGGAGCAAGTGCAACCAGGTCAGACTTTAGAAGCAAGAATAATGAGACTTTGTCTCACATACTTTGGACATGATAATAGGAGGGGTCAATCCCTGTAAGAGGATATCATACCTAGGAAAGTAGAAAATCAGCCAAAAAAACCAAGCCCCTCGGTGAGAAGCCACACAGTGGCTCCAGCACAGCAGAGAGCACAAAGCTAGTATGTCATCTGGCAGGATTTGTTCTGTTGTACAAATGTCACTATAAATCCACACCAACTAGACAGCAGCCAACAATATGGTAAGCACATTTTCCAACTCATTCATTTCTCATTTTTTTTAGTATTTAAAAAATTTATACTGCTCTGTGTACAAAATTCATATGCCCAATCATTTCTTAATACCAAATAAATTAGTGTTCATGTTTCTTTGATTTTCCTAACATTTTTAAACTGTTTGTTTCAACTGGAATCTCTCAGTGCAGTCTAGAGTTGTTGGGGTGATTGGATAATCTGTAGATTGTCTCACTTCTTCACCCCCCTTAATATTTTTTTAGTTAAATAAACTTAATTTGTTTAATAAAATTCCTTTCACTCACGGAGTTTTACTTCTTCTGACTATATTGTATGATGTTTTTCTATATGTCCTATAAATTGGTAGTAACTAGAGTCTTAAATGGTAACACCTTTGATATTACGCTTCATCTATCCATTCATCCAATATGCTTGTTTGAACCATCATCTACTCTGTGCCACGGCTGGGGCTGTGGGCACATGTGTGAAATGACAATAGTAGTTGAATTTATAACCTCATGGAGCATTCCAAAGATCCATTTTTTAAAATGTCTAGTCAGGACATCTCCAGACATCTGACAGTCTCCATGAAGTTCAACCCTTTCCTGACCTCAGACCACAGCAAGAACCACAAAGGCCACTTCAGTGCCCCCTCGCACATGCTCAGGAAGATCATGTGCTCCCCATTGTCCAAGGAGCTGCTGTAGAAGTACAATGTCCACTCCCTGACCATTTGCAAGGATGACAAGGTCCAGGGGGTTTGAAGATACTGCAAAGGTCAGCAAACTGGCAAGGTAGTCCAGGTGTACAGAAAGAAGTATATCAACCACAATAAAAGCGTGCAGCCTGCGAAGGCTCGTGGTTCAGCTGTCCCTGTGGCCCCTCACCAGATCAAGATCATTATCACCAGGCTGAAATAGAACATAATTGGGGGGGGGGGCGGGGAGGGAAGTTCTTGAAAGCAAACCCAAATATCAACCAGCTGGAAAACAGAAAGGCAAATATAAGGAAGAATTTACTGAGGAAATGCAGGTATAAATGTAACCTGATGAGAAACCAGCTTATCATTAGATTTCTAACCAAATGTATGTTCTTGTGAACTTTTCAAAAATTCCCTCCCACTCAGAAGCAGGTCTGTAAATTTTCCTTTGCAATTTTGATTAATAATTTTAAGGATAAAAATTGGGAATTATTTCCACTTGAAAAAAGCAAAATATCTGGTGTGTGTGAAGCAGTAAGTACAAACGAGAAAGGTTATGGGACACACTGGACTGGTGGCAGGCATGAACACGAATGCGTTCATAACGCATAATAACAGCATCCGCTGTTATTGTTGACAGGAGACTGGAAGATGTCCTTACAGCGGGACCTAAGTCTGCACCCCCCTAGGGGAGAAGAACATAGACTCAGGAGAATGGCAAGTGCAGAGGCCATGCAGGAGCACATCAGTGTGTCAGGGACATGCTAAGAAAAGTTTGTGATGTCTGAAGCAGGGCAACCAAACACTGAAAGTGTTTGGGATTCAGGTAGAGTAGTCCTTAGAGGCAAGGATGGTGAAGCTTTATTTCACATAAGGCTATTCCTTGAAAAGGGACATCGTGCTTGGAAAGGTGGAGGGTCAGTGAAAGAGAAGAAAACCCTAGACAAGATGGATTGACACAGTAACTGCAGCAATGGACTCACATGGCACAGATGGTGAAGATGACACAGGACAGGACAAGGTTCAGCTCTGCTATTCACAGGGTCACTATGGTTCATACTTGACTCAACAGCACTTAACAATAACATGTTCTGATGCTGTTGTTACCATTGTAGTTATGTGCCATTGAGTCAGTTGCAACTCATAGCAACCCTATGTACAAAAGTCCTGAAACCTGCTCTACCCTGTGCCAACATTACTGTCTCTGACACATCTACCTTCATTACCACAGTCACTGTATTACCCCAATCCATCCCATCCATGGTCTCCCTCTTTCTCTATCCCTCCACCCTTCCAAACATAATGTCCCCCTCCAAGGACCAGTCCGTCCTTGCAATATGCCCAAAGTATGTCAGATGAAGCCTCAAAATCTTTGCCTCCAAGAAGCAGGCTGACTTCACCCTCCCTAGGACAAAGCTGTTTGTTCTTCTGGCAGTCCATAGTATATTAAAAACTCTTCTCCAACACCACAGCTCAAAGGCATCAATTTGTCTTCTACTTTCCCTAGTCATTGTCCAGTTCTCTGACACATAGCAAGCAATTGCAAAGGATTTCAGGTGCACCTTAATCTCCAGACTGATGTCGTTGTTCTTCAATACTTAGGAAAGGTCACTGACAGTCAACTTTCCCAAGGCAATTCATCTCTTGATTTCCTGACTGCTGGTACCAAGAGTGTTGATTGTGGAGCCAAGCAAACTAAATCTGTTAACAATCTTAATCTCTTCACCATCCATCATGATCCTGTCAATTGGCCCAGTGATGAGAATCTTTGTTTTCTTGATGTTGAGCTTCAATCCATGAAGGCTGCAGAAGTGCTTCAGATCCTCCTCAGTTTCAGCAAACAGGGTTATGTCATCTGCATAACAGAGGTTGTTGATGAATCTTCCTTCAAAACTGATGCCACATTCCCTTCATACAGCCCAGCCTCCTGGATGATGTTCTGCAAATAATTGAAAAGGTATGGAGACAGAATACATCCCTGGCATACACTCTTCCCAGTTTTGAACCATGCATTGTCTTCTTGCTCTGTTCTGACCACTACCTCCTGGTGCAACTATATGTTTTGCATGAGCACTATCAAATGTTCTGGATTCCCATTCTTCTCAGAGTCAGCCACAGTTTGTTGTGATCCACACAGTCAAACGCCTTTGCATAATCAATGAAGCACAGATAACATTCCTCTGGTACTCTCTGCTTTCAGCCAAGATCCATCTAAAATTAGCTGTAACTTCCCTAGTACCACAGCTTTTTCTAAGCCCAGCCTGCACTTCTGGCAATTCTCTGTTGACGTGCTGCTCCAGTGGTTTTTGGATAATTTTCAGCAGACTCTTGCTTGTATGTGATATTAATTCTATTGTTTAGTAGTTTCCACACTCTCTTGGGTCACCTTTCTTTGGAATGACAATAAATATAGATCTCTTCCAGTCATTTGGCCAGGTGGTTGTCCTCCAGATTTCTTGGCATAACTTAGTGAGTGCATCCAGGGCAGCATCTGTTTGTTCAAATATGTCAATTGGTATGCCATCAATTATTGGGGCCTTGTTTTTTGCCAATTCTTTCAGAGCAGCTTGAACTTCTTCCTTCATCACCACAGGCTCTTGCTCACACATTGTTTCATGATATTCTTCTGTGTCAGCCAATAACTTCTGGTACAGTGATGCTGTATACTCCTTCTTTTAATGCTTCTTGGATCATTTAATATTCTCCCCAGAACATCCTTCAGTATTGCAACTCATGGCTTAAATCTGTTTCTAAAATCCTTCATCTTAAGAAATTATGAGCAAGTCTGGCACTTTTGATTTTCTGACTCCAGCTCTTTGCACATTTCATTATAAGACTTTGCTTTGTCTTCCCAAGCTACCTTTTGAACATAGAGACCAGAAAGATTAGATGGTAATACTATTGGGTGTTTTGACTGGAGATTCTCTAGAGGAATCCTGATCAAAAGGGGAAGGAAATATAGAACAAAATTTAAAATTCCCAATGAAATCCAGACTTTCTATAGTCATTGAGACTAGATGAATCCCTAAAAGCATAACCCTGAAATCATCTTTACACCTTAAACCAAAATTATCCCCCAGGGTCGTCTTTGAATAAACAAACAAAAAAAACCCCTTATCTTAATTATTGTTGATTGCTGTTGAGTCAAGCACAACTCATAGCCACCTTATGAACAAAAGGCCTGAAGCCTTACTGTAACTATCATCATTTATCAAAGTTCATAGAGTTTCCAGAGGCATGCTATTTAGGAAGTGGATGCCACTCTTGCTCCCAAACCTGTCTTAAACTGGGAGCTCCACCAAATACTGTCCACCATGGGTAACAGATTTGAGCATTGTGCTCTTTTTAAAAAATTATCTATGTGAGATAAAATGGATAACAGCAATTTGAAAGGTTATATGGGGAGCTTAGGGGATTGTGAGTTTAAGTAATGATGGTGGGAAAAAAAAAAAAAAAAGTAATGATGGTGGAACAATATGGAAAAACATTCTGAAAATGATTATACAACATACAGAAAACAATCAATGTCACTAACTTATATATGTAGAACTCTGAAATATAGCATCTCTTTTGTTATGTATACTTTTATCAACATTTTTTTAAAAGACCTCTCATAGAACTGCCCCATTTTTTTTGTAGGTTGGAGACCGCTGTTACCAGGAGGGGTTGTATTATGCTGCCAAGCTGCTGTACAGCAGTATTTGTAACTTTGCCTGCCTGGCTTCCACCTTAGTCCACCTCGGGGAGTACCAGGCAGCAGTGGACAGCAGCTGCAGGGCCAACAACATACACACATGGAAGGAGGTAAGCTCTAGAAAGTTCCAGGAGAGTTCTGTCCAATATTGTTCTCACACTGTCTGTGCTCCATATTCTGTCATTTGGGATGAAGGTGGGATCTGCCTTTTAGGGAATTTTGTTTGTTTCTTTATAATCCAATCCTTAGAGTGAGCTTTGGTGGCCTAGTGGCAAGAATCTGTGCGTGCGGTTCAAATCCACTAGATGCTGTGCTGGAGAAGGAGGAGTAATCTCCTCCTGTGCTGGTCAGATCCAATTAAACGGTACACAACCAAAAAAAAAAAATCCTTCTTTTTTATTTTTAAAAATATACTTATTTTTTAATTCAAAATGCTTGAGAGAGTTTTAAAAGTCCAAAGGATCAAAGGTATGTAAGTTTAATAAAGCTTATAGGGAGGTGGAGGTGGTTGCTGCATATGCCTCTACTGCTTCAGCTTCACCTTCATCCTGACCTGTGTGGTGCCTTGGAGTTACTCCCAGCTCAAAACTAGAAAATTCTAACTTCCTGTGTTCATAAAAGTCGATGACGGTAGTGGTGATGAATATAACACTTCCAGCAGCAACCATTGATATTGCAATGCAGAAAAATCATATCATTTCGATTTCCAAGGCACCAAAGTATATCCAGAAATCAAAATTACAAATCTAATTCATAAAAAGCAGATGCATCTGTAGATTTTATGTGATAATTGGCCCTACACTATTGTCCATCACCTTGTCTAAAAGTTAACGTGGGAGGATCATAGCAAGTCTTAACTGTTATTAATGGCAGCACTTTGACAATAGCAACAGCAAACAATCACCAGGAGGAAATGCAGTCAGTATTTTAATCCTTTGAGATGGCTCCAAGAACCTCATCAGCTACTGTTTATCCTTGTAAGCAAAGGTACAAGGAACCTGTATTAGGCCACTCAACTCCAAAAAGGTGTTTTATTAGCGTATAAGTGTTCTCTCTCTACCCATATCATACCTTTTCAATCCATATGCAGAACAGATCGTTCAGGAGGCTTGACTTGATGAGGAGGAATGCGGCATCAGGATTGAAGGAATATTCATCAACAGCCTATGTTACACAGATGGAACAACCTTGTTTGCTGAAACTGAGGAGGACCTGAAGTTCTTGCTGTCGAAGATCAAGGACTGTAGTCTTCAATATGAAGTGAAGCTCAACATCAAGAAGACAAAGATTCTCATCACTGGGCCAGTTGGCAGCACCATGATGGATAGAGAAGAGATTGAGGTTGTTTACAGTTACGCCTTACTCAGCTCCACAATCAACACTCTTGACACCAGCCATCAGGAAATAAAAGACAAATTGCATTAGGTAAATCTACTATCAGGAACCTTTCCAGAGTACTGAGAAGCAATGATGTCCGTCTAGAGACTAAGGTGAACCTGATCCAGTCCTTGGTCTTCGCAATTACTTGCTATGCTTCAGAAAGCTGGATAATAATTAAGGATGATGGAAGAAGGATTGATGCCTTTGTGTTGTGGTGTTGGAGAAGAGTCTTGAACATAACATGGACTGACAAGAAAACAAATAGTTTTGTCTTTGAGAGGATGAAACCAAGTCTTTCCTTGGAGGCTAGAAGTTTACCACACATAACAACAGGAAACATTATGAAACATGGACCATGAGTGAAATAACTCAGTTATAAAAAGATAAAAACTATAAGACTCTACTATAAAAATAAGAGGGTTATTGAGTGTGGGGAGGAAAGGAGAGCAGGAACAAAATGGACAGATAGTGATATCTGTAGTGGGTTAGGGGAAGGGAAGATCAACCTGAAGTGAATGAATGTGTGGACACACAGCATGTGTATTGAAATTAACAATCTTCAATGGGATGGGCATAACAGATCAAACAGAGAGGAGACAAGGGAGAAGGGAAGAGAGAGAAAAAAGATACAGCAAGGTTTATGCACTATAGTTTTCTATAGGATGTTGCAAATAATGGCACTGTTGTTATGTGCCCTCAAGTCACCTGCAATTCATAGTGACTCTTTGTTCTGAACTCTGCCCTCTCTTGAGCCAGTCTTACACCTACCTCCATTACCTCAGTTACTGAGTCAAGCCATCTCATCCGGGGTCTTCCTCTCCCGTGCTGTCCCTCCACCTTTCCAAGCATGTTGTTCTTCTCCAAGATCTGGTCCTTCCTGATCAGGAGCCCAAAGTATGAGATGGAGCTTCAAACTTCTTGCCTCCAAGGAGAAACTTGGTTTCTCCTTCTCCAAGACAGACCTGTCCGTTCTTTTAGTAGTCCATGGGATGTCCGATGCTCTTCTCCAACATCACAACTCAAAGGCATTGAATCTTCTTCTGTCATCCTTAGTCATTGTCCAGCTCTTTGATGTATAGCAAATATTGTGAATACAATGGCCTGGATGAGGTGCGCCTTAATCCCTAGACTGACATCATTACTCTTTAGCACTCTGGAGAGGTCCTTGACAGCAGACTTCCCCAACGCAATTTGTCTTTTGATTTCCTGACTACTGGTGCCAAGAGCGTAGATTGTGAAACCGAGCTAACTGAAATTATTAACAATCTCAATCTCTTCTCCATCCATCATGATTCTGCCAGTTGGCCCAGTGGTTGGGAATCTTTGTCCTTTTTTTTTTTTTTTGTAAACTCAGAATAAAATAATGGGATGGTTTTTAAGTGAAATCAAAGAATCTTTGTCTTCTTGATGTTGAGCTTCAATTCATATTGAAGACTTCAGTCCTTGACCTTTTACAGCAAATGCTTCAGGCCCTCTTTAGTTTCAGCAAGCAAAGTTGTGTCACGTGCATTACACAGTTGTTGATGAATCCTTCACCAATCCTGATGTCACATTCCTCCTCATAAAGCCTATCCTCCTGAATTATCTATTCTGCATACAGATGGAAAAGAAAATGGCATTATACAATGGTAATTAATGTTATGAAATGAAACGTATGTGAGTGACTGAATGAAACCAAATTTTTACATTTTAAAAAACAAACACATTTTTTAAATGGCTATTTTGCCCTCCCTCTGTCAGAAACAGAGGGGATTCTTCCCTGACTTTCCTGAGAAAAACCTGATGGAGTTTCTGGAAATTAAGCACATGTGGGTGGACTTCCCTTCCCCAAGACTGCACTTTTAGGAGGTTTAATCTCTCAAATGTGTCCAGCGTCCCTTTTCCAGTGACTGGTCAGTTACCCTCTAGTTCACCAGATGCAAGGCCTCGTTGTGACCAGGGTCTCTACTCCTGAGAAGCAGTGAGCCTGTGTTTATCTGTCTGTCCAGCTTTCGTGCCAGGGATTTGCTTGTGCTCTCAACTCTGATGGAATTAATGTTGAAGTGTTGCTGGTTCCATTTCTTTGTTTAACTGAAAGGACAGGAAGGATAACTTCTTATGTCCTAGATTGGACTACGTGACAACTTATGAGTCTGGTTGGTTTAAAGTTCTCTGATAATATAGAATCATCTGTAAGGGGAAGAGTTGATAAGATGATATGTATGATATGTAATATAATAATATATCAATAATAAATAATATATCAATAATAATAAATAATATTATATCAATAAGATGATATGTAAGATGATAAGACTGTGTGTTCATGAATTTCTGAAGCTTAATTTGATAAAAGGTTAGAATCATCCCATGCTGCCAGTATCTTACAGAACAATTTGAATCAAAGATTCAAACTAGATTCATAAGAGGCCCTAGAATGAAGGATACAATTGCTGACATCAGCAGTGGCTGGAAGTAGAGAATGTCAGAAATATGTTTTACTTGTGAATTATTGACTTGATTATGCAACTGTGGATCATAATAAAACACAGACAACATTTTGAAAACTAAGAATTCAAGAAGGAAAAGCTATTCTTTGGAAAGGGACATCATACTTGGAAAGCTAGAAGGACTGCAAAAGAGAAGAAGACCCTCAACAAGATGGACTGATACAGGTCTACGGCAATGGACTCAAACGTGTCGAGGACGGTACAGAGTAGGACAGGGTTCAGATCTGTTGTCCATCGGTTTATAGGGTTGCTATGAGTCAACTATGCTCAAGTTTATAGCATCTAAAAATACCAACACTAAGCTCAATAGTAGGGCCTTGATTCATGTATACATGCATTTCAATATAATTTGAAAAGTAAGCTGTCAAATAGAATACAGGGTGTAACTCAATTTTTAGCTTGTGTGCATGTATGTGTTGTTGATGTTGTTGTTAAGTGCCATAGAGTAATAGACGACCCATAACAACCCTGTGAATGAAAGTCTTGAATACAAAACTTTCATGTTTTCCCCAAGTTCATAGCATTTCTGGATTCATGTGCAAAGCTTATGTCTCTGGCTAGCATTGATGAGTTATCCCTAGGTTAGTCCACTGTTTTTGTTGATCTACATTTTCTGCCTCCTTCAGCATAAAAACATGTGCTGTATAAAAGGTAAGGAAGCAGAGATGCGTATGAGTCAAGCTGTGTTTGTGGTGCAACAAGATCTGTGTGAAAAGTTCAGACTAACGTGTTTCTTGAGTCTGTTTGAGCACAGAATCGCTCTAAACAGAGCAGCACTTCACATCTGAGACACTTCTGATCACAACATATGCACAGAGTACAGTACGCAAAATAGCTTAAAAACAATTACTGAAGAGGGTTGGGAAAGGGCAGATTGAGAAAAAAAAAATTACTATGGAAGGCGGTTTGGTACTTTCTCCAAAAGTTGAAAAAAAGTTAAGGAAACATCATTTGACCCAGACATTTCACTGCTGAGTGAAAAAATTAGGGCTGTGAAGCAAAGAGATGTTGAACACCCATGTTTGTTGCAGCATTGTTCATGATAACAAAGAAATGGAAGCAGCCTAGGTTCCTGTCAACAAATAGATGGATAGAAAAACTGTGGTACATTCACACCACAGAATATTACACAGCACTGAAAAACAATGAAGCTGTAAAACATTACACAACATGGATGAGTCTGAAAGACATCAAGCTGGGTGAAATGTCTCAGTTAGGACAAATACTGCATAACAGCAGTG